CGAAAGGCAGGAAATAAAATGTTTGTAAAATGGTTAGGATTTGATACATCGCATAACAGCTGGATTGATATGCGCAGAGATGTGGTTTAAATTGTAACTCACTGAGATTTTTTATACATTCAAAATCATGAATCTGTACTGTGATGTTTGTGAGGAAGTCATTTCTTCTTATTCGCATAACCTAAGTCATAAACATAAAAACAAGTGTTGTAATGAACTTGAACCTGAAATACATAGTCTTAAAACAGCGTTTAAAAATCGACTAATTTCCTATAGACTATCCACAAAGCTGTATCCAACCAGTGTCGAACTTTATTTGGAGGAACTGAAAACAAAAATCATAAGCCTGATAACGAAGAATTTTTCCACTCAGTCCAACATAAAATTAAATATGGAATTATATGGTTTATATATTTTGGGAGAGATGCAGGAAATAAAGTCTTTTAATACCTGTTTTACTGTAATTTCTCCTAATACGGATCTGCTCAAGGTACTCGATGAATTTAAACAAGTAATAGTTTCCAAATCTAGTGAATTCAAGGAGAGAGATAGTGGATGGTCATTAGTTAAACTCTTATTTCTAGAGGTTAACCTAAACAAGCTCAAACCATTAAAATAAATATGGTGGGGGTATTCTAAATAACACCTCTCATGAGCCTTTTGTTATACTTCTCGCTCAGCATTCGTTGAATAAAGTAGTGTATTATATCGATTATAAACCTCAAATTACTACATTTTCATTATTTTAACGTAGTCACGGTGAAATCAGAAGGTATATCACAGCTCTTTATCGAATTACGCAATGTATGAAGATATCAGTGCCAACGACAGCGATGATTCGCAGTGTTCTTCAAATTATTGGAAATATTTCGACAGTATGATTTTAAGAAGTCGAATGGAAATTGCTCAAGAGAAACGTTTACTAAACGAAGTAATTTACCATGTGGGCAATTTCAAATTTATTGTGGGCCTAAGCGTTGCTCGAGGAATGCTGCCAGCAGTCAAAATAATAAATTCCATGCTAAATTTACCTGAAGACCAAACTTGCATAACTCTAGCGGATTTCGACTGGTACGAATTTCTGGAAAAGGTCTCCAAGATGGTGAATGAAACTGATGCTGCCGTCAAAGACTCTGCTGAACAAGAAGTGTCTGGCCAACAGGCGTTATCCGAGAATTTCACTCTATATGTTATATCGTTTTTCGGTGAACAAACTTTAACTCTGAAGTCGGGTAATTGTACATTGTGTTTTTGTTTAGATGATGTTAAACAAATTTTAAGTGTTAGTCATCTTATCAATTATAGGTTAAAATTAGTTAAGAATTTGAATTTCATTGTATACTATGATGATTACCTACAATATTTGAATGTAACTCACAATACCAACAACAATAATCTTATGCAATCAATTATCAGCATGTGTAACTTGAATAAGTGTGAATGTAGCTACTACTTTCTAGAACTTGCTTCTATGAACCTAGATAAAATTGTTACGGATTTAGATAAGCTCAACGCATGTATCCAATTTAATTAGTAGTAATAATAAATATTTAAAAACAGTATTGCTTCTTATTTTATCCACAGTCTAATAGCAACCTTCAAAGAACCAAAATGTCTGAATGTATTACTGGTGACGAACGCCGTGATCAATCTTCCTGTATAAGACAAGCTGTTTGTTTGCTACGTACTAGATTAGAATCAGACATGTACTTTTTACTTCGAGAACTTTTTGAGAAAAAACCCTCTAATGGATTCAGCTGGATGCAAGATGTAGAAAAACATAAAAATGGTGTCAATTGTTGTAATCTATATCTGGATAATTCCATCTCCTTGGAGGACCTATGTGTGCTAATGAATAAATATGAACTACATGAACAATTAAAACAGCATGTCGCTAAATATATGTGTGAAGATATGATTTTAAAATATATAGGTTATGATGAAGTTGACTAATTTATACATTTTTTAAATAATAAAAGTTCCTAATAAAAATGCTTTTCATTAATAATTATCAAAACACCAATAGTAATTCGTTGGAGCTGCTTGTTTATATTAACTAAGTATATTACCGGGTTTGTTTATTGTCATTTTCAGTCCTAATTTCCAGACTAGTAGACAATGACATCATATGAGTTTAATGAGGCATTATTTTACATTCTTTTTTTTTTTGTATTGACGATTGGCTGCTATTTTATTGAAATTCTTTGAAAAAAAAAATGGTCCGCGGTCGGATACATTAACTAAGTGTATTACCAAGTTTGTTTATCGTTATTTATTTTCCAGTACTAATAACGTTGCGCCCGTAGACTAAACAATGACATCATATGCTATAAGTCTACACGGCGATGGAGAGATTTCGCGCTTCCCTACAATTCTCCGATCCTGATACAAATTTTCAGTTAGCAACACTTCTATGGTCTCTTTTTTCTCATCATCGAGCAAGTTGAGACTTGTTTGCAAGCTTAATATATACAAGGCAGTAGGTATCATCTTTTTCTGATAATTTTTTAAAATAATACTTATTTTTTATAGTACCTAATTATTAATTATTTAATCAACTAACCCAACGACGTGGGGGCTAACCTATAACTAACTCAAACTAACCCTGGCTTACCATTGCTGTATACAGGCCTCTAGCCCTGTATCGGTGTATACAACCCTATCTCTAGACCTGTATAGCTGTTTCTTGGCGCTCGCTCTCGGACTATAGTTAAATGTGGTACTCGAGACGCGTGTGAAGGCCATTGTAAAACAAACACTTCTGAAATAATTATTATTGTATGTACGTTGAGGTTTAAATCGGTTTTTATGATACTCAAGCTTCAGTCTTTTTCTGTCTGTCCAACAGCGAACATTATAATTATTAATTATTGCACATTTTTTTTTTTAACAAGTAAGTAAATCTTTTATATACTAATATCAATACCTACAGAATATTTTTTAGATATGGATTTGAAATCAATCAACGAGTCGTGCCTCTTCAAGAATCAAAAAACACTTGTGAAATTACAAGACATGGAGCCTGGTAGAAAGTACCCAATATTTTCTGCTAAAAAAACCCAAAGTAAATTCGGACCGAGTATCCTCATTGAACTTGACGATAAGGCAGTGTTTCTTCCAAAACGTACCACCAAATCATTGGAAGATCATTTTGAGCAGTTTATAGATGGAAAATATTCAATAATATACAGAGGCCAGAAGGATGTTGGACGACCAAACCAAATATCGCTTTTTGAAATAGTCGAGTCTTAAAAAATGTATGTTTTTAAATAAAAAATTGTTTGAGGTTAGTATTTTTTTTTTTTTGCCCATCTGTTTCTTTATATTTCTTCATGTATAAATTCACGTATTTTTTCATCTGTACATGTAGAAATATAAAAAATACACAGTAATATTATACGGGGTTTATAGATGGCGCAGAGAGCGGGTAAGTTGGAGTAGTTCAGGTAGATGACATTGACAGCTGACATTGACAGCTGACATTGACAGCTGACTGACACTGACAGCTGACATTGACAGCTGACATTGACAGGTGACAGTGACAGGTGACATTGACAGGTGACATTGACAGGTGACTGACATTGACAGATGACATTGACAGGTGACTGACATTGACAGGTGGCATTGCGAGGTGACATTGACAGATGAGTGACATTGACAGATGCCAGCTGACTGATGACGTCACGGCGTCGCGACGCTCTGGTTGGCGCATGCGCAGACGTCACGGAGGCGTCGGAGGCGTCGGAGGATGCAGAACTCTCAAACTATATCTACTTCTACGCACTAACCTTTTTTTATGTTACATTTTTTTTCTATCGAATTCCACATTCCACACTTTAGGAAGGATTGAAAGATAACGACAAAGATATCGATAGTCGTCAGCGAAACCTCCAAAGAGACTCAACAAATGGAACCGACTCAATCCACACAAATCAGGAAAACACTATTCTCGTTAAAATCTATAAATAACTTCACTTATTAAATAATATTGTCCATGCCTTCTCTAACACGACACCAATTATATCGACATTTATAGAAAAACCCAACCCTACGCGATCAAAACCAAAGTACCAGCAAATTGATCGATATAGGTACTCGATAACAGGTAAATAAAAGAAATGAAATCCTCCAGTAAGAGAGAGACAGAGAGGGAGTGAAAACTAAAGGAATTAATCCTTCTAAATGAGCTGGCGCGAAAATAAAATTGAATGACAATTAACTGGACATAACCCCTTTTTATTTGAAAATCAAAACAATGTTGGCTATCGACTAATGAAATTGATAATTTATGTATATTCCTTTTAAGGACAACAAGAATAAGATAACCAGGCATTGTTCAATAAATATTCATCTGCAATGGTCAACTAAATCATTAGACAAATGATAAGGAGCAAAATCTTGTCTGGCTGTGCCTGAAATTATCTAAAAAGATGCAGAGTAAGGTAATTAATATCCAATCAATTAAGTCAGCTCTAAAATAATATTTGTGTGTTACCAGTTAAAACGCTGAATTACTCATTTAATGGGAAGAGCAAAATTAAAATGTTACAAGTTTTAGATATAGCTACATGTGAAATATTGCCATCTAGAAGTGATTCTCCACACCTCAGTACATCTAAAATATTGCCATCTAGCAGTTGTGATTCTGCACAACCCAGTACATCTAAAATATTGCTATCTAGCAGTTGTGTGTCATCCAAAAATTAAATAATTGTTTATTTCTAGCTGGTACATTACTCTTAAAGTGCCATGATAAGGTGCTCAATATACAATATTATTAAAGAACATTTTAATCTTCATCCTCATAAACGTGTAGTGGAATATGACACAGGGGAAATTGAAAATCCTCTCCATCTTCGCGTTGCACCTGTAGAAGGATTTTTTGCAAGGCAAGGCAGTTTTTCTTCAATAAAAAAAAATGTATTTTCTTTTTCAGGTTCGGGGGCATGGGGATCATACATACTCCCAGAAAAAATATTGTGGAGGAATTGGTCAAGAAAATGTTAATACTAAAAGAAGAATTAATTGCCAGATGTGAAGGTATGAGGAGGGCGCTAACAGCTAATAAAATAGAAGAGGTAATAGTTATATTCTGAATAGTGACAATGTACAGCTTCAGATATAGCTACATGTAAAATATTGCTATCTAGCAGTTGTGATTCTGCACAACCCAGTACATCTAAAATATTGCTATCCAGCAGTTGTGTGTCATCCAAAAATCAAATAATTGTTTATTTCTAGCTGGTAAATTACTCTGAAAGTGCCATGATAAGGTGCTTAATATACAATATTATTAAAGAACATTTTAATCCTCATCCCCATAAACTTGTAGTGGAATATGGCAGAGGGGAAATTGAAGATCCCCTCCATCTTCACGTTGCACCTGTAGAAGGATTTTTTGCAAGGCAAGGCAGTTTTTCTTTTCAATTAAAAAAAAAATGCATTTTCTTTTTCAGGTTCGGGTGCATGGGGATCATACATACTCCCAGATGAAATATTGTGGAGGAATTGGCCAAGAAAATGTTAACACTAAAAGAAGAATTAATTGCCAGATGTGAAGGTATGAGAAGGGGGCTAACAGCTAATGGAAAGAAGAGGTAATAGTTATATTATGAATAGTGACAATGTACAGTTTCAGATATGGCTACATGTAAAATATTGCCATCTAGAAGTTGTGATTCTCCACACCTCAGTACATCTAAAATATTGCCATCTAGCAGTTGTGATTCTGCACAACCCAGTACATCTAAAATATTGCTATCTAGCAGTTGTGTGTCATCCAAAAATTAAATAATTGTTTATTTCTAGCTGGTAAATTACTCTGAAAGTGCCACGATAAGGTGCTCAATATACAATATTATTAAAGAACATTTTAATCCTCTTCCTCATAAACTTGTAGTGGAATATGGCAGAGGGGAAATTGAAGATCCCCTCCATCTTTGCGTTGCACCTGTAGAAGGATTTTTTTGCAAGGCAAGGTAGTTTTTCCTTTCAATAATAAAAAATGCATTTTCTTTTTCAGGTTCAGGGGCATGGGATCATACATACTCCCAGAAGAAATATTGTGGAGGAATTGGTCAAGAATATGTTAATACTAAAAGAAGAATTAATTGCCAGATGTGAAGGTATGAGAAGGTCGCTAACAGCTAATGAAATAGAAAAGGTAATAGTTATATTCTGAATAGTGACAATGTACAGTTTCAGATATGGCTACATGTAAAATATTGCCATCTAGAAGTTGTGATTCTGCACAACCCGGTACATCTAAAATATTGCTATCTAGCAGTTGTGTGTCATCCAAAAATTAAATAATTGTTTATTTCTAGCTGGTAAATTACTCTGAAAGTGCCATGATAAGGTGCTCAATGTACAATATTATTAAAGAAGATTTTAATCCTAATCCCCATAAACTTGTAGTGAAATATGGCAGAGGGAAAATTGAAGATCCCTTCCATCGTCGCGTTGGACCTGTAGAAGGGTTTTTTGCAAGGCAAGGCAGTTTTTTTTTGTCAATAAAAAAAAAATGCATTTTCTTTTTCAGGTTCGGGGGCATGGGTATCATACATACTCCCAGGAGAAATATTATGGAGGAATTGGTCAAGAAAATGTTAATAGGTACTAAAAGAAGAATTGATTGCCAGATGTAAAGGTATGAGGAGGGCGCTAACAGCTAATGAAATAGAAGAGGTAATAGTTATATTCTGAATAGTGACAATGTACAATTTCAGATATGGCTACATGTAAAATATTGCCATTCAGATGTTGTAATTCTCCACAACCCAGTACATCTAAAATATCGCCATCTAGAAGTTGTGATTCTCCACAACCCAGTACATCTAGAATATTGCCATCTAGAAGTTGTGATTCTGCACAACCCAGTACATCTAAAATATTGCTATCTAGCAGTTGTGTGTCATCCAAAAATTAAATAATTGTTTATTTCTAGCTGGTAAATTACTCTGAAAGTGCCATGATAAGGTGCTCAATATACAATATAATTAAAGAACATTTTAATCCTCATCTCCATAAACTTGTAGTGGAATATGGCAAAGGGGAAATTGAAGATCCCATCCATCTTCGCGTTGGACCTGTAGAAGGGGTTCTTGCAAAGCAAGGCAGTTTTTTTTTTTCAATTTAAAAAATTAAAGTCGTTTGGTAATTTATTAAATATTTTTAATTACAGTTGTATGATGGATTTTTTTCACTTAAAGTTAATCTATGAATAGGATAATAAATATCTGTGGTCCTTGTATTGTATGTGGTGTTAGTGTTAATTAAATAATTGTTTATTTCTAGCTGGTAAATTACTCTGAAAGTGCCATGATAAGGTGCTCAATATACAATATTATTAAAGAACATTTTAATCCTCATCCCCATAAACTTGTAGTGGAATATGGCAGAGGAGAAATTGAAGATCCCCTTCATCTTCGCGTTGCACCTGTAGAAGGATTTTTTGCAAGGCAAGGCAGTTTTTCTTTTCAATAAAAAAAATGCATTTTCTTTTTCAGGTTCGGGTGCATGGGGATCATACATACTCCCAGAAGAAATATTGTGGAGGAATTGGTCAAGAAAATGTTAATACTAAAAGAAGAATTAATTGCCAGATCTGAAGGTATGAGGAGGGCGCTAACAGCTAATGAAATGGAAGAGGTAATAGTTATATTCTGAATAGTGACAATGTACAGTTTCAGATATGGCTACATGTAAATTATTGCCATCTAGAAGTTGTGATTCTCCACAATCCAGTACATCTAAAATATTGCCATCTAGAAGTTGTGATTTTGCACAACCCAGTACATCTAAAATATTGCTATCTAGCAGTTGTATGTCATCCAAAAATTAAATGTTTATTTCTAGCTGGTAAATTACTCTGAAAGTGCCATGATAAGGTGCTCAATATACAGTATTATTAAAGAACATTTTAATTCTCATCCCCATAAACTTGTAGTGAAATATGGCAGAGAGGAAATTGGAGATCCCCTCCATCTTCGCGTTGGACCTGTAGAAGGGTTTTTGCAAAGCAAGGCAGTTTTTTTTTCTTTTCAATAAAAAAAAATGCATTTTCTTTTTCGGGTTCGGGAGCATGGGGATCATACATACTCCCAGAAGAAATATTGTGGAGGAATTGGTCAAGAAAATGTTAATACTGAAAGAAGAATTAATTGCCACATGTGAAGGTATGAGGGCGCTAACAGCTTATGAAATAGAAGAGGTAATAGTTATATTCTGAATAGTGATGGTGACTATCGATTTGAAGCCAATACATACCATCTGAAAAGATCAAAACAATTTCTCTGTTGATAGTGTAATTATTTGATGAAAATATGATATTTTGCTTGCTACGCCTTATTAAACTGTCGAAATAATAAATAAAATGGATAAAAAGAAAGAAAATAAGCTATATCGTTATACAAATAATGTGCAGTCCCTTTTGCAATTCATTGGTGATACTCAGCTGCAAAAATGTGAAATGCTAGTAAAATACTTTCAGAGTAATATCATGCTGATGCACATCAGCTCTCCTTCAATTTCTAGTGCTGGATTGACTTGATTCAAATACATATTGTCTGTCGTTTTTAATCTGAGACTTTCCGTATGAGGAGCGAGGGGCTGAAGTATATGGCAAAAACAGGTGTGACGTCAGGTGACCATTGGCGTAGGGTGCCACCAGCTCACATTCCTGTACAGTATCAGATTAAAATCGACGGACTTTAAAGTCGTTAAAGTAATTTAAATCAAAAAGATGAGAACCCCCTTTTGGCCGAATACATATCCGAAAAACTGCGAAAGAATATAACAGAACTCGTATAACGCTACAGTAAGAAATTCATAACATTTTCTTTCGTGCTGAAATAAGCACGCATTCATTTTCAATGCCACAGCAAATGCACTCGCAACTCCATTCGCAAGCTTTTCCAGTGCAAATACCAATAGATAATTCCGCAGTGTTCCCATCACTAGCTCAAGAGCTAACTCAGCTACAAAATGCCACAGCTTCATCTCACAATGTATGTTCTCGATGTGATTCTAATTCAAGTAACTATACTATATCCTCAGCATCAACATATACTTTCATCACCTCAAAACTATCAGGAAAGTTGCCAACGTGCAGACAACTCAACTGTCTTGCAAGAGTTTTTGACATTAAAACTAAACAATATTTTTTTTTTTTTTTAAATATACGTTTGCCTGAAATACAGAAATACATACCTTAACATGTTTAGATAAGATCTTTACTAAAGCCCTGCATACTTCTGGTATTGTTGTCGATATTAGCTGCTTTAATGTGTACCAAGCTTGGAGCATCCTATAGTTTAGATAACTTTAAACCATGGTTTTTGCATTAAATTACCAAAGAAAAAGTCTTTACTTTCTGGGATGCTTGTCATATGCTAAAATTATGCAGGAATACCTTAGGAGACAAGAAGTGCATAGCAGATGGCCAGGAAAGAGAAATCATATGGAGCATTATCGAGGAATTAGGTAATACACAAACAATAGAAGGCCTACATGCAGGTAATAAATTAGGCAAAAGACATTTAAGTTATCAAAATGAAAAAAAAAAAAATGTATGTCAGGTGAGCAGCACAAACATTAAGTAACAGTGTTGCTAAGTTTATTAATGGTGACACCACAGCAGATTTTCGTAGGAACATAACTGACTTTTCGCAAAACTGTCACGTGACACGCATCCACCATATGTTACGTCCAGATTTTGGTCGCAACGTCGTCCAAATACCAGACGAATAATCCGGGATTGGAAGGAATAAAAAGTCCAATTTAAAACAATAACAAATCGGGATTTATTAATAAATAATAGAAAAGAAAGTTTAACAAAAAAATTGAATAAATAAAATAAAACAAAATGAAATTTTGGAAATTATAAATTGAAAGTTAAATCAGATTGCGATAAAATACAAATCGAAAGATTTTGGTTCGTACTTACATTATATGACTCAACATAATTTTGCACAACACTTTGTACTTTCTTGAAGTCTGCGAGGGTACTGTCCAAGCTTTTATTCGGTTTTTCGCCATCGAGTCTTTGATAAGTCAGCAAAATCAATTTTACCTTTGAAATAATTGAACTATCGTTTTGCGGACTCATCGAAGTTACAAAATTATAGTTATTGATTCATAACCGAAATTGTTTAATTTTACAAAAGGAAACGACTTGCAGTTTTGCGAAAAGTCAGTGAACTGAACTTTGAATAGAAAATTAAAATATTCAGTTTTTTTATGAAAAATATTTCCTTTTGTAAATTATAAAAACTTTTTAGCGTGACTTTTCGCAAAACTGCAAGTCGTTTCCTTTTGTAAAATTAAAAAACTTTTTAGCGTGACACTATAAATATATTCGCAAAATATAAATATGTATAAGGAACCATATCAGTAAAAAATTATGAATTATTTAAGTCAAAAATTGAATATTTGATAGACTACCCTAAAAAGCTTTATGACAACTATGGAACATTGTTGACGGAAACTTATAGGAAGGCGGGATTTTTAGATCTTATTATCTCATTAACCAATGTTTTAAATTTGTATGATGTCTTAATTTGCACTGGCAAAATGAACATTTTAATGACATATATAAGCTTAGCCAGGATCATTTAGAGACATTTTTTAGTGCAGTAAGAAGTCGAGGAGGTTTCAATAATAATCCGACTCCTAATGCAAATTGTTCAATTTTGGATGCTACTAGCATACTTTTTGTGGGTAGAAGGGAAAATTCTAAAACTTGTAACTTGTAGTGGGACTCTGATAATTAGCAAACTTTTGTTAGAATCACTTCGTTTCGATTCTAACATTCGCCGTTAGAAATATGATCTGGCACTTTGGTAAATAGCATTGCATTTTCGAAATGAAGGATAATATCGATCCACTTTCCTTGGTTGAAGCACAATTCATTGATCTTTTTAGACTAAATAGACAAATGATACGTTTTTTGATTGATGAACTACTTCGACCCTATATGAACAATTGCTTGTCATATCACGCTGTTCATCCTGTAACCATAATATTCACGGCCCTAATATTTTTTGGAACTGGGACTTATCAACGGGTCATTGGGCAGTCCTTTCGACTATCTGTTTCACAGCAAACTGCCTCTAGATGTATTGATGAGGTGGTTTTGTTAATACTAGAACATCTGGGTGACCGATATGTAAAGTTTCCACAGACTGTTGAAGAAAAAAGTAATATAAAAGAAACTTTTATGAGGCGCACTCGTATTCCGGGTGTTATTAGTGCAATTGACTGTTTGCAATGATAAGACCTGTGCAGGAAGAACACAATTACATAAATCGGAAAGGATTTCACAGCAATAATGTTTAAATTGTACTGATACCAAATTAACTAATTTTAATAATTAAAGCGATAGGCTATATTTCCTTAAAATGCACCTAATGGGATTGCAAATATTACTCTATACTCTGACAATTGCGCCGGCAAAACAAAAATAAGTTTGTTGAGAGTCTACTTTTTCAATGTGTAACTTCAATTGAAAGTATCGAGAAAATATCATATAAATTTTTAGTGGTCGGTCATAACCAAAATGAAGGTGATGCAATGCATGCCTTGATTGGAAGAAAAAAAAATCCTTTGAAGTGGAGCTATTTATACCCCTGATTAATCAATTCCCATAATACGACTCGCCATGCCTATAAATGCATTGAAATGAACTACACTGATTTCTTGGATATAAAGCATTTGCAGTCAGAAATTGGTAAAAAGTTTAATCAAAACGTTACTGGAGAGAAAGTTCAGTGGCAGTAAATTTATGCGATCAAGCCCTTTTTCCATATTTTATCAAACATCATACGCAGAAATTGATTACAAGGAAATTGATGTTCGTTATAATAGAGGTAGAGGATCTCCTAGTAATAAGATTGATCTAAGGAAGCTTTACGCCAATCCATTGAAAATACCACAGGCTAAAAAAATGACCTAATGAGCCTATGTGATGCTAACGCTATTCCCAGTCAATACTGGACTTTCTATAAAAACTTGCCATCGACTTCAAAAGTTTGTCATAATAACCCAGCAGTTTATGATTGAATTAGATTTTTTAGAAATAGAAAAAATGGTTACTGTTAGAAATATTTTGTAGTAAAAGTGTTCGTTGAATTTCTTTTCTAATAATTTTTTTTCGAAAACAAAACCTATCTTATTAAAGTGTTTATTATAATAACTGGAATTAAATAGTCAAACTGCATAAATTGTCAGTGTCATGCTGTCAATGCCAAACTATCGTTCCTTTATCTCAGATTTTCCATTTAATTTTTTTATCGCAAGTAAAACGGCTCTGAACATCACTGAAAATGAGAAAAAAAATGTAATTTGCGTGGGCGGGGAGGAGCTCGCTGCCTACTGCGTTTGAACTCCCGCCGATTTTTTCCATTTTCCGTCATGTTCGAAGCCGTTTTACTTGCGATAAAAAAATTAAATGGAAAATCTGAGATAGAGGATCGATAGTTTGGCATTTCGACTTATCAGTGGACTTTTTAAAATAAATATAAAAAAATTATCCTCAATTCTACAGACTGCTTTAGAAACATCCCCATTTTGCTTGACAAGGGTATTATGCCGAAATTATCCATCGGACCGGGACCATCTACTATGTATGTGTAAAAAATTAATTGTCTAGCATGAAAATTAAAAAAGTT